CTTTACGGCCGCTTTGCGATCAGAGGGATTTCATGAAAAATCATCAGAAACAAATGGTTGAACGTTGTCAGTGGAGAGCATGCAATTCAGACATGTTTCACTGAGCATTTAGAGGAGGGACAATTTATTCAATTTCAAAAACTCAATGGAATTTGCAAAAATTTAAAAGATGATAAAAGTCAGTGGCCACCTCATGAGCAGCAGATTACAACAGTTATAAACAGGAAGTAGCACATGTTCATCTGCACGAAGGTAACTGCAGGTAAATCCTCCATTTTCTGTCAAAATTACATTGTATGCTTAATGGTTAAATTAAAGGCTAATGCTTAAAGATAGTTGTGCTTTGTTTTGTGTTTTTTATATGTAGCTGTATTTTGTAACTTCTGGTTACATAAGTTTAGTCTTTGTTAAAACTAAACTGATTTTGTACAAACTGTTTAAAAGGTTGTGTAATGTAAAATTTATTCTTGCATACTGAATTTCACTGTGAGTTCTTGCTCTGTGTCAATCTGCAGCATGAAATCATCCACTGCTGTAACAGTTTTGAAGCTATTCGTAGCTTAGAATTTGTCTTATTTTTTTTTACCCGTCTTCTTTGCCTTACTGTTGGCTGATAATGTAATGGTCAGCGGCCCCCGCTGACCCCTCATCAGCTCACGCCACTGCTCCTCATGCCATGTTTCCGCCCATCCTGCCATAAGCCTGTCTTCATGCTTAGTGTTCTTCTGCCCATATCACCTGCCATAGTTTCTGCCCCTCGTGCCATAGTTTCTGTTTCCCTGCTGTGTTTTGCCTATCCCCCATCCTTCAGCTCAAGCCTGCTTCCTTCACTACATGCCACGCCTCCCTTGTTTTCTCCACAGTAATCAGCATTCATCCCATGCACCTGTTCACCTTGCTCCATTCAATCAGCACCAAGCCCCCTCTGCAATCAGCATTCATGCCAGCCACCTGTTTTCTGCCCTTTATAAGTTCCATGCCCACAACCCATCAGTGCCAAATTATTACACCTTCCATGGGCCCTAATACCAAGCCATTCATTGTTTCATGTCCATGCCTGATGATCACGCCTTGTCTTTTGGATTTACGACCCCACGCCTGTACCTCAGATTCTTCGCTTGCCTGCCCCTTCCTGGTTTTTGGGATTCTGCTTTCTGACTACGGTACCGACTCAGCCTTCTACCTCCTCAACCACAACTCACGGATCACCCTTGCTGGATTATTATTGGAACTCTGTTCCCCTCTGCCTGAACCCCGCTTGTTTATACTGGACCACGCTTCTGGACGCCCCTTCTATTCACGCTCATCTCAATCCTGCAGCTGCTCTGCTCAACTGCCAGTGACGTCATCACTACTATTCTGACAGGTGACTCTCTCCCTCCTGCTTGTGAGGATCTGTCACCGCAGCTGATCTCGACTCTCCATCCAGCAATCTAAATAAAAACTGTTCTTTTTGTACTCCTGTGTCTGACTTATTCTGAATCCATATCCGAACATGACAGATATGGCAGAAATGCCTCGGGTAACGCCATGAGCTTCACTACCTCCATTACAGCCACGTTGTTCGTTAGTTTGTCCGAGGTTAGCTCACCCTGGGTTACATTTCCTTGTGGGCAGAGTGATCTTAGCGTTCATGTAAAATATTTGATAATGTTCTTATAGAAACAAATCCTGAATGTTGTTCATACTGTCTTAATGCTACGTTTGTCTCTTGACTCTACAACTGGGTAACGTTACAGTAGACCTAGCCCGTTACTGGAGTTTGAATTAGGTATTTTAAGCTACTAATAAACATGATGGATGATGATCATATTGCTTTATGCTAGGCCATTGGCAAGGAGTGATTATTATTATTATATTTTCATATTGGCTAGTGATTTCTTTATTCTAAATGTTAACTTATACTACACTATGTTTCTTTGACTGTGGCTAGGATGCGTGAGAGAAGCAGTGTGTGCTCTATTCACACAAGGAGAGCTGTTGGTCAGGCTACTTCTTGTTGTACCATTAACTCTAAAATAATTATTGAATAGTTTACTTATGTAGGTAAAACTAGATGCCACTCTGATGCATGAAACTTCAGGGCTGAAAATGAGTCAGCCCTCATGGACTGCAAATGTAATTAGAGAATCTTTAGTCTTATTTTACTTATGTGTTTAGTGTAAAACATTTCCTCTAATCTTGATTTAACCAGCAGCTCATCCGCATTTGTAAGCTTATCTAGAACATTTTCCAGCACACAACTCAGAATCTGGTCAGCAAGTTTACTTTTTCAAATGACCACAAATGAAATATTACATATGAAATAAAAACATGTCAGCACACAGCACTGATATAATTTCATCCATGTTGAAAACCATAAATTGTCTTTAACGTTGTGTATTTGTGGCAACACAAAATTACTCTGACAGCACCCAAAGCACCGACAACCACCAGGAGTGAGTTCAAGAAACTCACGACAGAACCGAGAACAAGAAAAATAAATTGTTCATGTATGAGTTGAAGCCTCTTTGCCAAAAGCAGAAAAACTCAGAACAGTCACATTCACCCCCCGATGAAAAGTAACTGGTTTGGGCAGTCAGAAACATCGCAGGAAGACCGACATCATTCATTCATCCGGAGCTGTGAGAAGACAACGTCTGCAGGCAAGCTGGTTTTGAATATTCATAAAGTAAAAGGCTCTTCTCCAAACATGAAAGCAGTAAGCTTGATTTTGCTTATAAATGGTAAATGGATTGTGCTTATATATCACCTTTTAATCTTATGAAGACACTCAAAGCGCTTTACACTCCAATCTATGTCCTCATTTACCTCCACACACATATTCATACAGCACTCTACTAGATCTCTACAAAGCTCATTGAACAAATCATTCTAAAGAGACTAATCAGTGCTTTATCACATTCAAGCACTGAATATATATATATATATATATATATATATAGCTTTGTAGATATATATATATATATATGCACCACAAAGTCAACACAAAAATGGTTTTAACGCTGTCATTTTTACAGACGTTTAGCTAATACTCAGTGCAACAGTAGTTGAGAGACATAAATGCATTCCTTCAAGGAACGCTTATTTATTTATGAATTCTTTTCTGAGCAACACTGTACGTTTCCTTCTAGTTCCACAAGCTTGATTCTCTCCTTTTTACAATAGTAAATTTAGCCATAAGGCTGAATTTGAACTATATTTAAATGTTTCGGCTGATGCTGATGTTGCATTTTAAAGCATAACATCAGCTTCTTTTTAAGGCATTTTCATAAAAATATTATGGTAATAAAATCACAATATAAATTCTAAACTTTTAGATTATCAGCATCTTTCCAAGCACAAAAGCCAGTCATTTTAATGTCAATCTGCACCTATCATATTAGGTAATGTGGAGCTGCTCACTGGTGTGTTGACACAAACCAGCAGATGGTGCCACTTCTAATATTTGTGACAGATGTGTTTGGCAATACAATGCTGACCCCCACCCACAATTTTTACAGCCCACTACCAGTTGTTTCACAACCCAAAAGAAAGCTCATTATCTGAGCTGCAGGCTCCATCGTCACAGATGCACAGCTCTTCACTCATGACGTCAAGTGCAGGATTATTTTAGTACTTTTGGTATTATTCTGGCAGCTCAAAGCTATAATCAGAAAAGACACGATTGCTTCTAAATGCAAAGCAGCAAAATAAAGTCATGTAAACAAACTGCAGCGTGTGAAACACCTTCCTTACACTCGACACCAGATGTAATGAGGCTTGGGAGTGTGAGAAAAAAAAAAGTAATCTGATGTTTTACATTCTGTGTGGGTTCCTCCATTATCCGTCTGTAGCACGTTTGTGGGAAAGTGCAGTTGAGTTCATGTTTCAGTTTGTGCGAGCGTGTGTGATTGTAAGCTCTCGTCTTGCTGCGTGTTATGTTAACCACACTCATCCTGTACGTCGAGCCACTCGCCTGGGAACTGATCTGCTCTACACCCCCCCACCCCCCACCCCACCCTGGGTCTCACTGTTTATGTGCCGCGAGGCGAAAAAGTCACATCATCAGAGCTCTGCACAACCAAGCTTTCATTGAATTCTTAAAATAATAATAATAATAATAAAAACAGATTAGGATGCCCCCCGTATGTTTTAGTGAGTCAGGCTGGAGAAAGTGAAAGGTTTGTGCCTGGGTATTCAGATACGCTGGAAGTGTCTCTCCCCATGAGCAGTGAGAATAAAATGGAATCCAATTAAATCAGGAGAGGGTTTAATTTAGCAAACGAAAGCAGGATAAGAAGCCTGAAAGTATTAGTTACAATGCTAAAACACTCCTTTTTGTTGGTTTCTTTCTCTGAATTGGTCTGAGGTCACGGCGATATGCTGAAGCTCTGATTTTCCACCCCCTTAATCCATTATTCATTCTTCCCTGCTGGAGATCTGCCTTCATGGAAAACAGGCTTCCAAAGCGTCGCCCGTGACCACCTCACATGTTTGCGCGTATATGACTCACACGATGCACGGTGAAACAAAGATGCAGATAAACGCACATTTTCCACATGCACCATCAAACTGCTTTGCATACTATGACATAACAACTACAGCGTGCTTTGGTAGCAACAAATTAGTTCAAAGCCCGGGCACAGAATGATCCAGAAGAGCTGCAATATTTCATGCCTTCTGGGGCCAGCATAAGCTCATTACGGGGTAGCAGCCATGGCAGGCGCACATATGGAAGTTAAGGAGTCTTGCTCAGTGTGGTCACACAAAGAAGGAGCTGAACTGTTTTTTCCTTTTGCTGCCCCTTTACTGATCAGTACGTACAAGACAAGACGAAAATCAACAGTGGAAGGAGACGAGAAAAAGACAAAATCTTCTACATCAGCTGTGTTCAGTGTAAAAACCGGAACTCGGTTTCTGTCGAACTAGTGTCTCAGCAGATCTGGAACTGAATCTGAGTTTTAGAAGTCTTAAAATCTGAATTACAAAATAAGAGAAATGATTGCAAACATGGTTACCCGGGTGGAACGGCTCCTCGGGCAGTTCCCATGGAGATGCGCTGGGTGCCTGGCCGGTTCAGGTTGTTTTGTCCGTTGATGGTGAGAGCGTGGTGACCATGGGAGGATGAAAGTGACGGCATCACGGGGGAACAGGGGAAGTTGACAGAAGACGGTGGCGACTGCACCGGTTCAGATTTAGAAATCCCACCTCCCACGCTGATATTATTGTTGTTGGTGCTGGAAGAGCCGGATGTCGGAGACCACAGGGAGGTCCCAGTGAAGGTGTTGCTCTGCCGCACTGCAGTGAGGGTTCCCATCGCCCCCGAGTTGCCAACTGTCCCTCCGTATAGCTTGCGCCGCTGAGAGGCCAGGATAGCGTTCGAGGCCGCTCTTGTACTGTTGACCAGGATGCACTGCTGGCAGGAGCAGGGCTGACCAGAGCTGGCCCCCACTGGCCATGACTGAGACTTGGGAATGGAGCCCATTATGAGCGGGTAGGCCAGGTCCATGCGTCTTCGCAGGCGCCGCTTACGCTGACTCTGCCTGTTGGTCTGAGACATGCTGTTGAAGTCGATGAGGTAGCAGAAGCCCAGAGAGGTCAGGTCCAGCCAGGGGTGCTGCTTCTCATAGGCGTTCTGGATTGTCACGCAGATCTCCATGTCGTACAGCGTCCATGAGCCGTTGTCATTCTCCCACTCCCACACCACACCTTTACCTGGGGCCGACGACGGCTCGTAGAAGTTCCTCTGCACTGGTCTCATGGTGCCTAAAATCAAAAAGTTAGAAGAATTAGAAACATAAAAGTGGATTTTTCTCATGATAGTTTTTAAAACACACATCATTTTTGCTTAAATGGTAAATGGACTGGACTTGTATAGCACCTTTCTATCTTATCAAGATACTCAAAGCTCTTTACACTACAATCTGTGCCTCATTTACCCATTCATACAGCACTCTACTAGATCTGTACAAATAATAATCAGGTCATTTAGATCACATTCATACACCGATGGGACACACATTGGAGGTTCGGTGTCTTGCCCAGGGACACTTCAACATGCAACTGCATAAAACTGAACCCCCAACTCTCAGACTGCTCTAACCACTCAGCCACAGTTGCCCCAAATCCAAAAAGGCATGAAGAACTATCAAAATGGTAAAAAAAAAAAAAAGTTTTTCATCTTTACCTCTCGGTCCTCATTTGTTAGGTGGGAAATCTAAGGCATCGTCAGCCATTCTCATAATTCATTCAACCTTTATTTAAACAGGTTAGTCCCAATGAGCCACGAGGACTCATTTACAAGAGAGACCTGGATAATAATGACTTGATGGTGATAATAAATTCATGGAGTTTTGTTCTTTTGAATATTAAGACAAATCTAAATGAAATGACCCTGACATCGTCAACAGAATCATTTGTCATGACTTGATTTTTGGAGGATGAGTCATGCTAAATGTAATGAGTAAAGTGAACTGGGTAAAATCAGTGAAACGCCTTTATTTTTATTCTAACTGGCACAAATAGAAAATAAGACTTTTGTGTTTTGTTGTACAAAAACCTTGTTTTCTTAATCAATCTTCACCAATAAAGAATATAGCTTTCTTACATGACATGTAACCAAACGTCATCGTGTATCAGCTTTACAGCAGCAAATGAAAGACTATGTAAATGATAACCTGAGAGAAAAAAACAGACAAATCCTTTGGGACAACATCTTGAGGCAATGTGTCTCTGGAGTTTCAGGCACTTTGTGTAAACTAACAAGTGTTGAGACAAACAGGACCAACTGATGGAAATGAGATGCAACATTTCATCGTCTGCCTGAAGGCGTAAAGGGCCGTTAAAATTTCTCACCCCCAAAAGCTTCCACTCCATATGAAAGTGCTAACATGGCCTTTCAGGAACACAAACATCATACTCACAATGCCTTGCTTATTAAGGCTGGACTCTCTTCTGAATGGCGACAGAAAGGAAGGAGAGGGGCTTTGGACTGGGAGTGTTGCACTTCTGCACCTCCTCTGATGGAAACTCAGCTCCCACCTCCATTATAACACAATTACTGTGGTCACATGGGAAATCAGGACACCTTAGCCTATCCACTCCATACCGCACGTCAGCAAGGGTATCCAGGCACTCCAGCAAGATGCATCCAACCCCCCCGCCTTCCTCCAGCTAATTTAACGGGTAAATGCACACTCCCATGCCAGGGAGAGCCGTGGTGATAATGGAGAAATGGGGACTGTGTACCCCTCGTTCATTTGGCAGCTTGGTGCCAACGTCAGGGAATAAACTGCATCAGCAGAATCAGGAAGTATGACCTTGATCGTGTCCTGCAGACTGCTGCTAAAAGGAGCTGGTTTGACAGCTAACTTCACTTCTCTCTCTCATACATACGACTAGTTAGTGACCAAGCTGCCTGTGTCTCCTATGTCATCACCCAACCATACATAACTTTCTCTGCTGGGTGCCTCTGTGATAGCTTGCTGATTTAATTGTTGCCCGCTGCCATGAAAAATGGATAATAATGTATTTTACTGTGTACTAACACATCTCGCAAAATCTCAGAATTTTACATGAAATCTCTCATAATGTCGTTTACAAGGTTTGACCAAAACGCCTAGGCCTCCAGCCCCTCTCACCATGAAACAATTTTAGTTTTAAACTAAGCTCTGCATTCATTTAAGCAATGCTTGGCCTTTCTGTTTTGTCTTTCTTTCTGTTTTCTATAAAGAAACCAATGAAAACTGACAATGACCCAGAATGTTTAAAAAAATATTAAAAACACCCATTAACTCCTGAAAGTCAGTGATTTTCTGCACCCTTATGAAAGCTCTGTGATGGGAGATGGAACAACTGTTCTCCACTTTAGAGGGACGCACTTTCAGACCAACTGCGTTTCTGGCAACAATCAACAGCACGCCAGGTTTTTCCCACAGGCTTCATAAATATTTGAACATGTGAAGATGTTTAATTCCCAAACATCAATTTACCCTCTTAGTTTCCATAAAGAAATATTTACAGTATCTCTCACTGAAAGCCTGTTAGCAAAGCTCAGGCTGATCTCAGAAATGTGTAAAATGAACACAGCCACTGTTGTGTGTGTTGGAAGGATGCGGTGCGTCAAAATCAAGTTCCTACAGGACATTTTTCATGTTTTTACAGCTTGTGAGTAAAATGGAGACAGTTTTTTTTTTCTATGTCAGAACAGCTGGGGCACTAACAAAGGGGGTGGGGTAGGGAGGGCAATGGCCACCTTAAAACATTAAGCAATTAGTCTCCATGAATAAGGAAACTGGTTTAAAACCAGTGCACTCAACATTAGGATGCAGGGTCTTTTTTGGGGTGGGGGGGCATATTTTTTTATAAATATAAATTTAGGCGAGGGGCAGCACGGTGGCGCAACTGGTACAACTGCTGAATCCCAGCGAGCAGGTCCCTGGTTCAAATCCTGGTCCGGGGGCCTTTCTGGGTGGAGTTTGCATGTTGTCTCCGTGCATGCGTGGGTTTTCTCCGGGCATTCCAGTTTCTTCCCACAGACCAAAAACATGCATGTTAGGCTGATTGGTAACTCTAAATTGTCCCTAGGTGTGAGTGAGAGAGTGAATGGTTGTTTGTCTCGTTTGTCTCTATGTGGCCCTGTGATGGACTGGAGACCCATCCAGGGTGTACCCCGCCCCTCGCACAGTGATTACTGGGCATGGGCACCGCCGACCCCCGTGACCCAAAATGGAAGAAGCAGGTAAAAGATAATGGATGGATGGATGAATTTAGGAGAAGACAAGCTTCAGTGGATTGAGTAGAGGTCAATAAGTAGCATCAACTGTAAATAAAAAAATAAAACTAAAGCAGACGTACGCTCATCAGAAACTGATTCTCTCACCATCTTTTTTTTTTTAAATCATATAACCTGTTTATGACAACAAGATAACAAATTTCCTGTAATTATGTTCTGGTCTGTAAAAAAAAGCCACTACAGAGCCGCCTGCTTGGTTACCATAGTAACAAGTCCCTCTTTAGGCAATGGTGCTGACACCACCTTGCTGACCTGCTAACTTATCAACATAAATAAGTAAGTGAGGGGAATTTTAATTAAATATGTTTATTTATAAATAAATAATTGGATTTTGATGGTTTATTAGAACGTGTTTATACGCTTTAATGTGTCAAAGATGCGTTGTCCCTACATTGTGCAACATCGCAGCACCTCCCGTTACCTTTTGACTGACAGGGTTTTCTACAAAACCTGCTCAGTTCGGTTCAGATTTGTCAGAAATGGCATCATGTGAGGCTGCTCTTTGTGTGAGGTGTGAATAATAAGGCACTAAATGTGACAATTATAAAAATTGCACAAAAGTGTTCATGACAAGTGAGAGAGGAAAAAGCTGCTTTCAGGCAGCGCAGCAGGCAAAAACTGAATGAAAGTGAAGTTAGGGATTGATCATTTTATTCTTAGTAATGTTACGCTTTACATTTGAATAAAGCTTTATTCCTTTATGATTGTTTCATGAAAACGATTTTATACCCACGTCTTCTCAACAGATGGTGACAGTAGATTTTTTTTAAAATCAAATTTATGTTTAATTTATGAATATGCCAAAGATTCACACAGTTAATGTTTGATCATCACATGCTTCCAAAAGGCAAAAGACAAATAGACAAGAGAGTTTCTCCTGTGTGTTAGTTTGTTAGTAAAATATCCCATGAACCAATAAACAGATTTGTAATGAATCTGGAAATATTTATCCTCAGGAGGTACTTTTCTACAACTGATTGACTTTGGAGTCAACTCGATTCCAGATGTTTAACACAACCAACTGATCTTGGAAATGGACAGATTGGTATAACTCGTTCAAAAACTCCTCCCTAGCTAAAGAAGCTTCAGGATGCTCCTCTTGTACAGGCCCAGAGTGGCTTATCGGGAGGACCGGGACATTTCCTGGTGGGCCAGTCTGATGTATGAACTGCAGGGCCGGTGCTCAGTTATGCCGTTCCCCGGCCATGACTGAATCATTTCTTCACGTCACCAGTTTATCACCACTACAGCTGCACCAGGGCCGCCCAGCCTCTACCCAGGGCCAGCTCCGCCTCCATCCAGGGCCGTCCCGCCTCCACCCAGGGTCGGCTCCGTCTCCACTCAGGGCCGGCCCCACCTCCACTCAGGGCCAGCTCCGCCTCCATCCAGGACCATCCCGCCTCCAC